TATATATATATATATATAATTCACACACCTAAAATGAAGAAAGCTGCAGGAAAAATCCCACACCAGCACGTCATTACCAAACCTAATAATTTATACCCACAATTCTTGTTATATAAACCCATTATACGAAGTCTAAAACCATCACCTAAATCAAGAATTTTCAGTCCATCACCTGCAATTATTGTTTCTTCAAAAACACAGGGAAAAAAACCAATGAAGAAATCCACCTATGTTCTTGCTTCAATTCTTGGGTTGCTTTTTTTGTTTGGCGCAAATTCAGTAAATGCTCAAGAAGTTGGTAATGCAAGAAATATTTTATGAGCATACATAGTTGAATTCTTGAATATGTTTACATGTGTACGTCTTGTCTTCTTTCAGTAATTTCTTAAATCTGAACAGGGTATTTTTTTTTGGCAGAGGATGAGAGGGAATTTGATTACGCAAAGGGAAGTGAAAAGGGTCCGACAAAATGGGGAGAGTTGAAGAAAGAATGGGCAGCATGCAAGGACGGTAAATTGCAGTCTCCCATAGATATGTCAAATGAAAGAGTAAGAGTAATTACAAAGCCAGAAAAGAGGAATTATAAGCCTTTCAATGCCACTGTCAGGAATAGAGGTCATGATATTTCGGTAAGGACAGCTTAATTAAACCATAACTAAGGCATCTTATTATGTCTCTTTACCAACATAAAATAAGATTAGTTGGCTTCACGCCGGTTCAATACCGAATATTGTTTTCTTTATGTTTTCCAGTATTTTATAATTCAACTCCTTGAATCATCACGTAGCTTGTGAGGATTGGTAGTTGGCTTAACGGTTCAATACCGAATATTGTTTTCTTTATGTTTTCCATTATTTTATAATTCAACTCCTTGAATCATCACGTAGCTTGTGAGGATTGGTAGTTGGCTTAAGACATAATTTCAATTAATTAGTGTTTTTTTGGTAGTATTTTAAGTGCTTATAGGAAGTCAGTTGTATTAAATGTGTAGATAATAAACCTGTAGATAAAAAATATATTTACAAGCTCTTAATTTATTATGTCTCCTTAATAGTAAATTGAGCTTTTAAACAAATTGGTTCAACATCACAAATTAAAGAACAATTCATAGCTCTAGCTGTCATCATACTTGTAATTCACAATTTTATAAAAATGTTACGAACAATTTTCGTCTCTAGCTTTTAGATGAACATATGTATATATAGTACTATCAAAGCGATAAGTATCATACCCTAGGGCATACCATAATGTAAACGATTTTCAGGCTGTAGTCTAGTGTAAAGTTTGGCTTAAAATTTGAGCAGAACTACATGTACAGATACAAAAACAACATTGCCGATACTCACAAGGGCGGGCGGGGTGGGTGGGAATTTTTTTTTTTTACTTTTTTTATTGTGCGGGACCCACTCTCATGTGAGATGGTGTAAAGCTTCTGCAACGTTTTTCTTCTGTACAAATGGAAATTTCTTTAAAATTTTCTTTTGGTTCATAAAATTGATCATCTATTTTTTCCCCAACTGAATAAAGTTAACCAAAAAATTATTTACAAAATGACCTTAGTCCACCTTAAAAAATACGTTTCGAGTTCTGCTTTAATCACCAGACTTTTATTTTGAAAATGTGACCCAAAATTAATTGAGTCTGCATGTGAACTCACGTGTTGGAGTGACGAATAATGTCTTCTTATTTTAGATTTTTTAGTTCAAGAATTAACTATCGGAATCCCTCCAAATGCAGCTTCGTTGGCATGGTGATGTAGGATCAATATTGATCAATGGGACACAGTACCCACTTCGACAAGCCCATTGGCACTCTCCTTCTGAACACACTATTAATGGTAGAAGGTATTCGCATTTGGCACTTCATGACTCTGTGGGCTTGTATGTTTTTTTTCTTTTCCCAGTGTGCATTTCATAATAATACAAATTTCTTACAGATATGACATGGAACTGCACTTGGTACACCAAACCTCGGACCTAAATGTTAAGAACAAGATAGCTGTTACTGGTGTCTTGTACAAGATTGGAAAACCCGATAAATTTCTCTCCAAGGTAAAAATTTCGAAAAACACTCGATAAAATTCATGATAATATTGCTATTCTCTTTTTAATTGCAATGTTCCCATGATCTCATTTTGTAGTTAATGACAAATATATCATCAATGGTTGATCTGAAGGATGAAGACAGAAATTTGGGAATAATTAATCCCAAAGATATTAAAATGAACAGTCAAAGGTATTACAGATACATGGGATCACTTACTGTTCCTCCTTGTACCGAAGGTGTTATCTGGACTTTAAACACTAAGGTATGGCCTAAATTAAAACATAAACAAACTCTATATTTTAACTCTTTGACTAATTAATTAATCATTACTACTATTTTTAGGTGAAAACTGTTTCAAAAGATCAAGTTAAGTTGCTTAGAGAAGCCGTCCACGATGTAAGTCATCAAGCATTGCCGCGTGATTTTGAAGCTTAATTGAATATTAGTCGCTAAATACGTCGTTAATATAATTATTTATTATTGATTTAATTGTTTTCAGTATGCAGAAGAAAATGCACGACCATTGCAACCACATAACAGTCGAGATGTTTACCTTTATGGCCCAGGAGATACATGTGATTGATCATTGATCACCAACATTTTATTAATTTTGATCCTCCAGCACCAGACAACAATATTGTACTGAATCTTTTTTTCATTAGTGTTACGTTCATTATAGCCAATTATTGAAATAAAATATGCGTTTGAGGCATTTGTCTAGTTATTTCCTTTGATTTTAACTTTGTTACATAACTTATTGGAAAAGATTATAAACAACTTTGAAGTTAAGGGCATGCTCTCTTTACTGTTTTCAGGTCATTTTTGAAAACACTGAAAACATGTTTACTTACCTATTTTCAGAAACAAATTTTCAAAAATGAGTTTAAAATTTACAAAGAAAATGAAAAACGCTAAAAAGGTCGTTTTGACCGTTTTCAGTTAAAATCAAGCCAAATTTTCATTTTTTTTTTAATTTTTGAAAATAATTTTTCAAAATAACAAAAAAAAACGCGTTTTTAGTAATTTCAAAATGGACACTCAAAACACAAAATTCAAAATGAATTTAAAACTAAAAACAGAAACACGAAGAGAACGACCCATAAGTCTCTCTATAATATTCAGATACTTCGTAGGTAGGGATGACAAAAAAATTCGACAAACCTGATACCCTCGAGGCCCCACCCCGAAATGGGCGGGGAAAGCCCGCTTAAACGGGTAACGGGACGGAGACGGGGACGAGGCGGGGCATATTTAGGGTGGGGACGGGTAACGGGGTCCCCGCCCCGCTTCGTTAACAAAAAAAAAAAAAATTTATTATTTTTTTTAGAATTTAATACTT